GCTCTAACCTAATGGAAAACTAATTGTGTATTTGTAATTTAGAATATAGGAGATGGCAGATTCTTGGAACGGATGAGCAAAGGCCCAGTTAAGAGACTGGGCCTCCAAATACGTTTTGTTGCAAGTGTTCCTGGGTGTGTTGAGAAGTTTGGTAGAAGATCTACCTGCTTATGAGGGGTACCTCTCAGTTGGGGAGGAGGGATGTGGGAAACGGCATGCTGGCTTGCAAAGTAATCTCTAGATTAGAGGTCCTAGCACTCTACTTTATGAATAATGCCAGGATATTTGGGATAAAAATGGATTTTGGTGGTGTCTGTGGCATATTGGCCAGAAGAACCCAAGTGACGGCTTCGTTGCCGTATTCGTAGCAATGCTGCAGGTGACAAGGATCTGACTGGAGCTGGTGGTCTCATTTTCTCTAAATTTAATAAAACAAAGATTATGTGAAAGTCTCAACTGACCGAGGCCGTGGGGGGGGGGTCCATAGCTGTCAGTCCACCTGTTAGAAGGCAATAGTAACAAAACAAAGTTAGGCTCTTATCCTCACTCACAAGTGTGCATTTTGTGTGTGGGCTCCTTCAGCTGTGTTTACTTAAGGTGGCAGCACCTTACCAGGACCGTTGAGCTGTACTTATTGCGTTATTTTAGTATCCCACTGGACTTAAAAATGAAATTCAAACATTGCTCAGGCTTTGCCTAACATGTGGTAGAATTTGATTTTCTTAATGATTTTCTTATTTTTTTTTTGTCCCATGTTAACAATTTTCTGAAGTGACGCAACAGATCAATTAACATGGTTTATAACCAGAAATCAACTCTGGAGAGTATCAAAGGCATGTAAATAAAAGGCCTTGACACGGGGCCAAAAGCAGCGCCTAGAAAGCGGCTGAAATATTATCCGTCAGGCCAAGCAGAGAGGCACCCGGCGTTATTATGCCCAGGGGAGGGCAGGGGACACATGGCTGCTGTAGCCCAGATGGGTCATCCAGCCTGATGGGTTGGATTTGTGGGGAGGAAAATATAGCAGTTCAAGTTGATGGTTGCAGTAGCAGAAGATTTTAAAGACTGGAAAAGTGACTGGTGTCCATATGTCGCTATTTTTCTTGCTCTCCTGTCCTCCTGCACTGAATCCTCTCATATGGCATGGAAGAGAAAATATGGCATTGTGAGGGCGCTGAGCCCCTAGTAGTAATCCTACAGAGCAGAACTGAGGGGTGGGCTCAGACCAAGTGCTACTAAAGCCACGGAAAGTATGTATTGGGTGTATTCGGAGGCTCACAGGAACTTGCAGGAGCAAAAATGAGGATGGAAAAGAATTAAACAAACCAGCTAAAGAATTAAAACACATTGATGAAAAAAGAAAAGAAAGTCCACCTTAGCAAACCTACCCCTGATGGATGTGGAGCCAAGCAAAAGTGCGATTAGAGGTATCAGAAAGCAGCCCACTATGGAGAGAGTGTGATCTTAGGATGTTAGGTGAGGAAGGTAAGGCCAACCTGGCCAGACTCCCTGAGAACACACAGCTCTTGGCCTCAGTGCCTAGAGGATGTTCTCTGAGAACATCCAGAAGAACATCGAGGCCTCAGCAATCCTTCTCTTCCTCTTTCTTGGTCTCCTTTGGGCTGGCCAAGATTAAGCATCCATTCCTTTTCATCCATCCAATTTGTTATTTAAGTCAAGATTCAAACAACATATCCTAAATACTCTGATTGCTGAAGTCTATCTGTCTGAGAAGATCTGGTTTGTGCTGCTCAGGCAGCAGAATCTCCAGAAGACTCTTTCTGTGATGATATTACAGGTCTTTTTTAATTAAATGTGCAACCAGATACAAAATCTGCCATTACAAGGGCATTTAGTCCCAAGAGTGTTTGGGCATTAATACAAAAGTTTGCTGGGCTAGCTCATAGAAAAGAAATAGCTGATAAACAATGGGAAATTAAAATAATGGCCAATTCCCCATCTAGTATATGCCATTCTGTTGGAGCAGAAGACAAAGGACAGAGCCCCACAGACCCACCGCTGAGCCCACCAGAGTCTTCCCCGTTGTTTTGAAGATGGAGGAGGAGACTTTCTGCTTTGCACGCAGGAAGACTCAGTTGGGAGGCCTCTGAATAGGGGTTGACAGACTCCCCCAGTGTTGCCGTGGCTCAGCAAAGATGGCCAGGATTGAACCTGGAGGGCAGCTCAAGAACTGTAGTTATTGTGAACAATAGAACCATTAAGGCCGATTCCCAAACTCAGATCCAGCGCCTGTTGTCCTCTATGATGGCAGTCTGGCCTTTCATTTCCTACACTCGCTCATGTGCCACAGGGGCCTGTGTACATTTTTTATATTTCAGATTTGGGAATTTGTAGCTACTAGCAGAACCCTGAAGGTACGTTGCTTCTTGGATGAGAAGCAAGACGTTTTCAAAGGGGGGAAACCCTCCATGGAAGTTCTTTTGGAAAAGGCACCTTGGGGTCAAGATGGCAGCCACAACCAGGTGATTGAAGCCCCGCCCCTTTATACCTGTCACGACAAGAAGCAGGAGCGTCAGCTGCACAGTTGTGACCACCGTCTTAACCTGGAGATCCCTGGGCTGTGCCAAAGGCAGTTTTCCCCATTCCTTCAAAGCAAGGCAGAGCACAGCTATGCCCCCCCCTCCTGGCGCTTCCCTTGATGCTGTATCCAGAAAACTGGACATTCGCTCCCCCTCATAATCAGCAGGCTCCATGATTCCTAAAACATCTCAGCAGAGAGAGAGAGAGAGAGAGAGGGAGGGAGGGAGGGAGGGAGGGAGAGAGAGAGAGAGAGAGAGAGAGAGAGAGAGAGAGGGAGGGAGAGAGAGAGAGAGAGAGAAGGCAGTTGGAGTTCTCCCGCTGGCTTTAGTCGTCAGCTACTGTACATGAGCTCCGCTACAAAGGACTTAACCTTGGATTTAGCAAAGAATAGTTGGCTGATAGAGACTAAAGGGGCATCTGAGGAACAGGAAAAGACTCCAGTATTAGCACTTCCAAGACCGGTAGTTGAATAAGGAGATTTATGGGCACACCCTGGTGAAGCTGTAGGAGAAGATCTCTAGGTAAACCGAAGCCTACGTTTGGGTCACTTAATCTTATCCCGGGACTAATCTTAGTGAGGGACCAAGGCAAAGTCATTTGTCTGAGATCAGTTTCCCAAAGTTGGAGGTTGACTTTGTTAGGCAGCTGAAGGGCCACCTCGGCCAGTGCGGAAAGGGAGATCAGGACTGAAGGCAAAGGGGCCTCTGGGCATGAAATCGTTGCCCTTGTCTTCGTGGAGCTACGCCCGGGTTGGAGGCTGAGCTGCTGTTCTTCTCCAGAGACCAAAAGCTTTTCTGTAATTCAGTCCGTTAGAGACGAGGCTCCATCCAGCGCAGACTCCTTGTCTTGGGGATCTCTCAGGGACTCCGGAAAGGTTTTTATGAGGCCTCCTTAAAACTCACGTCGCTCTCCTCAGTCCGCAAAAGGGGTTTAAATTCACCAAGCAAGATTTATGAGTTCCACCGTAATGGGTACAAATGTCTGTTAAGGGATCATCAGTATGTACTGTAGGTCTACATAAAAATGAAAAAGTTATTGCTAGAAGAGGCCACGGCCTGCCACATGCTGCTTCTTCCGTGAATCCTTCAGAACAGCTCCTGTTATGTCAGGGGACACTGGCTTTTATAGGTTCCGTATATATTTATATATATATTCATTTACCATCTTAGTGCGGTTGGTGCCTGGTGGTAATGCTTCCTCGGGGGATAGAAATGTCCGCCCTCCCTTTTCCAATTGTTTATTTATGTAGTTATTTGTTTTAAAGTAAAATACATGCATTAGGCCAGTCGGAGGCATAATTCACCTTTTTCCCTATTCCGAGAGAGAAAGAAACGTTAAATGAACATTTGTGCTGCCATTATTGATGAGTCTGAAACCAAATTCCAGCAGTGGAATCTTTGGCGTCTCCGAGGGCTTCCAAAACAGGGCTGGGAGTTAGATGTGGTGTGTCCCCATCCTCCCCTCTGCCCTTACGCACTGGGAGGATCTCGTGCAAGTCGCTCCCCTTCCTGCCCCTTTGCTCCCCCTGTGGAAGCTGGAGAGTTGGGAGCTGAAGCAGAACATAGGACGACTTGGAGGTCTTCTAGTCCACCCTCTGCTTGAGCAGGAGACCCTATGCCATTTCAGACAAAGAGTTATCCAGTCTCTTTTTGAAAGCCTCCAGTGATGGAGCACCCATTCACTTCTGGAGGCAACTTCTGTTCCACTGGTTGATGGCTCTCACCATTCAGAAATTTCGCTTTATGGAGAGAAATTAACTTACTTACTTCTTACTATTTACTTTTGTCCTAATAAAGTTCAGCGGAGAGATCTTGGACTCATGAACTTAAGGCATACTGTGGTTTATTATGAATACTTGTTGTTATTGATTTTAAACTAACATTTCTTTGATTTTAACACTGCCTAACCTGGACATGTTATCACCTTGCTTCCCTTGTCTTAATCTGTAGCCGTGAGAGCACGTGGGGTTTCAGGTCCTGGCATCAAGCGTGAAGGGAAAAAAATGCAGGGCTGAGCCAGGTTGCCTGGCCAGTAAGGACTTCCTTATTTTAGGTAAAGGTTTTGAAGTGAAGAAATGTCCCATTGCTTGGTGTTGCCTGTCGATTGTACACAGGGCATGGGGACGAAGGAGAAAATTCCCAGCTCTGAAACGTCAAAGGGCAGCTGTAATCCAGACCTTATGGCTCCTGCCGGACATTCCACGGTCTAAGGGAAATAGTCCAAAGTGTCCTTGATAGCCGTGGATTCTGCCCCTGCTTTGCAAATATTTCCCATTCCATTAGAGCTACGATCTCTGTGCGCTTCCCTATTTAAAATGGTCTCTGAACTGGACCAGGTTTTGCTGCTTCTTCTGGCTTGTATCTAGAGAGGTGTGCTATGGGCTGAGTCCGCTCTAGCTCTCGCTTGTGATCCTTCTGGCAGCCGGTGGTTTTGTCTGTTCACCTTTTTCTCTCCCTCAGGTAGCCCTCTGTGCTCCTGCTGTGTCCCTGACCACATGGGCCTCTCCTTCCTCCCCACGTACGGCTGTCAGAGCAACCGCACAGCTAGCGTGGCAGCCCTGCGCATGAAGGCACGGGAGCACTCGGAAGCCGTCCTACAGTCGGCCAACCTTCTGGCCTCCGGCAGTCCCAGCCCCAGCCCGGCCTCTGGGCCAAAGTCGACCTCCGAGAATGCCTTGGACAACAAGCCCCCCTTGACCATGGAGCACAAGGAAAGCGAGAAGAGCGTTTGAGAGCCCACCTTCCACACACAGGGACCCCTCACGCCCTCCAAAGCCAAAATGAAGTCCAACTCCTTGGGTTGTTCTGCAACTGGGAGAAGACTCGGTTGCTGCAAATTAGCAAGATGTAGGCGCTCACTTGTTTTGGCCATCTCTGATCGGTAGCTTCACTTCCCTCAGGTTCCTTATTGCTCTCACTAAATCTGTCGGCACCTTCTGCCATTACATTAGCTCAGTTGAAAGAAGATTTAGATCAGGGGATCTTCCCTATGGTGGAAGGCAGAAGGACGTCTCCCAATGCCTCCTGTACGCGTAGCACCCGTCAGCCTCTTCATTAAGCAAAGGCGCATAGAAACATGCTGGCATCTCAGATGGCAGAACCTGAGATTGTGAGAACATGATCAGCCTGGTTCAGGAGGCTGGAATATGCCGATTGACCCAGGGACTTGGGCAATGATCCGTAATGTGCAGAAAGGGAAGCCGAAATCACGTACCTGCTAATAGGCTTAGCCTTATTGTACCGATGATACTGGACTTCTGTCCATGCCCAGGATAGAAGGAGCATGGTGAGTCTGCATTATAGGAATCAGAGATACTTTCATGAAACCATCTACCTTCCTTTAGAACCACAAGGGGCACCAGCGGTGGCATCTAGGAAGTGTCTGGCCAGTGAACATTTGGGTGATGACCCCAGCCCTTACATTGATAGTGTAATCCGTTTGAAAGGTTTTATGGGTCGAGGGACATTTTTTAAAAAGTTTGCAACATTTGGGAAAACAAACACCTTAGGCCAGACTGTAAATTATATCTAATTTTGGGTCATTGGCAGTATTTCCAGAAATAAGTTTCACTGAATTCGGTGGAGTTTCCTTCTAGGTAAATGTCTGTAGGATTATAACCAAAAGTGTTTTGCAAATGAATCAGTTCTCAGATCCCTCTTTGATGAAGAGGGATTGCTCTGTTCTCTTTGTGTGCTTCCCATATCAAGAATCCTTTTTCAATTCAATCTGATTCTTGCTGTGGCAAACTGTAAATTTCACACTAACGTATCTAGTTCTGCCTCCAGATCACACTGAGAGGCATAAGACAACCTTCCTTCCTTCCTTCCTTCCTTCCTTCCTTCCTTCCTTCCTTCCTTCCTTCCTTCCTTCCATCCATGTCTGCAGAGCAGGAGGAAGAAAAGCCACCGGAACCATCACTTTCAACCAAAGTTTGATTCATGATTGTAATTAATTAGAAGCTGTGGTGCTGCAGTTTTTCCAGATCCAATTCCTGCCTTGTCCTAATTCCTCTCTGGCTTCTGAAACCAGTTGTGCTTACACACACACACACACACACACACATACACACACCCCTCTTTTTTGTAGGAGTCACCCATTAATGCGAAGGTGTGCTCCTCTTCTGCCCTGGCAAAGATCCCTGGTTGTCCGGAGCAGCTACTCTGGAGCTTCTGTGTTCACTTAGCTACCCATCACAAGCACAATTAGGGCCCTTCTAATTCCTAGGGCAGTTTAGAGTACAAGAAGCAGAAGTGTGCCTTATTGAGGGCACCCTTAACATGTAGAATTATAGCCCTGAATATATAAACCAGAGATGAAGAGACTCTTATCAATAATGGAGGTGTTTTCCCAACTGACCGGATACCTGTATACCTTAAATAGCTTGGTGTCCTGAAGAGTGCCGCATATGTACCAACCACATGCATAGAGCATTTCTCTGGCACAAAGGCAGAAGCGTTGTTCTGAGCTGTCTTCTTTAGGGTGATGGCAAACAGCCCTGCGGTGTTGTCTTTTTCCAGAGGATGGGGCCAGCGATCTCACCTATCTCCCCCCCTCCCCAAACTACAAAAGGGTTATTTATTCTCTGTACACTTGATCCAGATTGACCTTTCTGTTGATCTCTCTGATTCCCTCGCATTCCCAAAAGAGAAGAGGCAGGAAACATGGCTCCCCCACCCCTCCCTCATTAGCCTGCAGCCGGGCTTCCAACTCCTCTTCACCTCCAGCCATCACGGTGGTTGCATTTATCTGAAGAACAACGAGAGCAGCTCTTCCTGCCAACGAAGCTGTGCAAACAGTCCGGGAAGAAAGAGAACCCAACCCGGCCTCTTTCTGCCATCATCCCAATCACCACCACGAGATGCTCAGTTTTTAATCCTCTTTCTTTCCAAAAGTTCCGCCATCAAAATGGTTTGCCAAATAGAAGCAATTTCGCTTCCATTGCAGCATAATTACCGATCACTCAGGTGAATTTGCCCGTTACATATACTAACTCTTCATTCTAATGGTTTGATTAAACTCATTTTTCCACCAGAAAGGTACATAAATAAGTGAACTGTTGAGCAAATTAAGAACACTTAACAGCATTGCATCTGAAAAGTAGTTATACTGATTAAATTTTCTGTCCTTGAGGATTTTCAGGAAATTACTTTTGATCGTCAATAACACAATTAAGTAAACTACACACACATTAGCATGAATAATTGATAAGAAATTATGTATTACCACGAAGCACTGATTTAATAATTCATGGTGCGACACTCTAGTGACTGTGCAAAACTGGAGGCCATCACAAAGTCTGTCTGATGGAGCTGCAAAAGCTGCCTGGCAGATTCGCTGTATAATAATATGAAATACTCCGCATGATGGATTTTCTGTTGCTTTAATAAAAAAAAAAATACAGTCAGAAAAAAAAAGGACTCCAAAGAGAATTCTGAATTATTTGTAAGTCTGTTTTTCTCTCTGTTTCTCCCTGGCCTGGCTGGTTTCATATAGGTATATGCAGGTGTGTGTGTGTGTGTGTGTGTGTGTGAACAGACACAGCTGTGTACCACAGTCCTTCAGAGCTGCTCCAATGTGATCCTAAAGATCCATTGACCCAAACCACATAAATGATGGGACTCGTGCAGAATCCCGGCTGCATCCCGGTGAAGGAGAAGGTTCATAAAAAGAGGAGAAATATCAAGGGTACATTGATTCAAGGCATATTTGAGTTTCCATGTTCTGACAAACTATTAATCTAAGAAGGCAAGTTGGAAAATCTTCACTCTGCCCAAATGAATTTCCGGCTTCGAATTGATTCACCCAGTCTTGGGCTGTTTGCTATAATTGACACTAATTCTCCAAGATTTCCGGCGGTGATTTATTTTCCATCTTTCCTCTGTGGAATCCTAGAAACATTAACCGAAGAAATCTTGTCTGGGACTAAGCTAAGCCATGTTGGTATGTTTGCATGTTTGTGGGTGTACAACAATTACTAAATTGGGAAAGGGGGCGGGGAGGCAATGGTTTAGCTGACTGCGATCAGGTTGGTCCTAGCTAAAAACAATTGCTTCCATGTACTTTTGGGCAGAAATGCACCCAAACCTCTGCACCTGTAATAAATGCCTAAAAACACACCGAACTGTCCCCAACCACCGTCTTCTGGCTGCATTGAATAAGTCTGTCCTGCGATCTCCTTCAGTTTTCCTAAGAAGAAAGATGACTAATCTATTAGTATGAAGAAGTGAGATTGCAGTGAAGGAACGCTTTTGGTTCAAGGTTTCGGCTATTGCAATCCTCTCCGCTTATCAGGATCAGACACAGGGATTTGATTTTTTTCATGTGCAGATGATGCACTCAATTTTATTTATTTATTTCTTCTGATTTCCTGATCTGAGTTCTCTCTCCCTCCCCCCCTCTCAGACAAATCTCCTTCTCATTAATAAATTAATAAGTCCAGGGTTCAGAAAAGTATTTGAGTTGTATTATGACTGTACTTAGTCCGTGCTAGTGCTGGAATTAGATACAATCAATGCCTGAAGTCAGAAGCTCTCAGAACTTAAATGTTCAACCTGCAGCTAGATAATAGACTGGGGAGGGAGGGAGGGGGGGGGGTTGCCAACGGGAGGGACTTTTTCACCTCCACCCAGAAGACGGAGCAGGACTTTGAACTCGAAGCAAGAGAGCAAAGGGGACTTTAAGGCTGGCGCGTGGACATCGTGATTCAGAGACGCTTCCTTGTGGTACCCAAAGGGCTCAAGTCAGCAGCCTGTCCAGCAGGTAATGTAACATGTAGTTTGACCCTGTGATCCCAACAGGTACGGATGGGAATTACATATTTAATTGTTGGTTCCATGCGCCTAACTTTCTTTTCTAATTAAGTTAGATTTGCTTTGTCATCTGAACTTGTTTCCCTGTTAATCCTTCTGCCTGTGAATTACTCTTTATTAAATTTCAGCATTCTCTTCCCACCAGAGACTCCCTCTCTTAAAGGCAGCTGTAGCCCAAGGATCGATTTCTCCCACCGGCCCAGCAGAGTCTTGGCTCTCTGGAGGTCCTGCCTGTAAGGCTGCAAATAAAGACGGAGCCTCGTGTTGAACAGCAGGCAGGCAGCAGCCCCAGGCCATCCGGCCCATCACTCTGCCCTCCAGAACAGAGACTCAGTTCACACCATGCTGAGCTTGGCTAACCATGGTTTAAAGAATACATCACAATTTGCTGGAGTTGCACAACATGCTGAGCCAGAGCTATCCTGTTTCAGAGATCCCACTAAATTAAGCAAACCAGATTTTGGGTTAATGCTCTGTGTAAATTTAGTTTATATTATATATAATATAACATTAAATTGTAATTGCAGGTGATAATAAGGATTTATCAATGGCACTATCGTATCTTCACCTTACTCTGTTTTCCCACCTTTAATTTGTTCTACTACACATCCCTGCGAGTTTAGAAATTCTTTAAGTCTCTAACATAACATAACTGGCTGGAATATGGGGAAGATACAGAATAGCACAGATGCTGGCTAACTTAGAACAAATGGACTTTTATTAAATAACTAAAATGGATTTGAAACAGGTTCATTTATTCCTATAAATTATCTGTATCCACTCAGTTACTAGACTATCCAGGCCCTAAAATTATTCCTAATCTTGATTGTTTGAAAGGAGGTTTCAAATATATAGTGGCAATCATATAGCTTTATCTGAATTGCTTTTTAGCTAGGTTTGACCAAGGATATGCTAATTTACTAAAATTATTTTTAATAATTTTAAATGAAATGAAATTTAAAGGAATGCTTGCCTTCTATAGAAGACCTGTATATTGCAAAGGTCAGAAGGAGGGCTGAGAAGAGATTTGCAGACCCTTCACATCCTGGACATAAACGGTTTCAACTCCTCCCCTCAGGTTGGCGCTATAGGACCACTGCATGCCAAGACAAGTATACAGAGGGGCAGGTTTCTTCCCTTGAGCCACCGCTCTGCTGGTTTCTAGCCTTAAACTCTACTACACCGACTCAGAAAATGGGAGATAATTTGAAAGCATGCAAACGCGAGTAGATAAATAGGTACCCCTTCGGTGAGAAGGTAACAGTGCTCTGTGCGCCTTTGGCATAGAGCCATGCTGGTCACGTGACCACAGAAATGGCCTTTGGATAACGCAGGCTTCCTTGGCCAAGAAATGGAGATGAGCACCAGGCCCTGGGGTCGGACAGGAGAATCCTTCAGCCCCACCCCTGGCTCCTTCAGGAAGAATAACGAACTGAATGCAGGGACAGACAGTGGTGGTGGCAACGTCCTGCCATATGGGGTCACCGTTTCTGTCTTCTTCCTTCTCTGCTTCTGGGTTGTCAGCCAGATGCAGGGAAATATATTACCTGCATCAGTTCTACATCTTCAGTTTAAAGTCTATTTTGCCCTGTTTTAAGACAAAACTCTTAAAAATAAAATATGCTTTAATAATATTTTTAAAAAGTAGTAGCCATATTGGGCACGAGAAATAAAAATCCAAATTCCATGGAGTCAATACTTTTATTTGGCTTATTGAAGTGTTATAAAATTTGCAAGCTTTTGAAATCCAAGAGCTTTTCACCAGGCAAGATTAGTCAAGAAAAAAGGCAGACAACTGAATGTAGTGTTGCTCCATTTGTGAGAAGACCTGACTGAGCTGTCTGTAGGCTTCCCTCTCTCCCATTGGAGCCTACCATGCCTTTGAGATCAGCTGTGCCCTTTTGAAACTTTGCGTGGTGACTGAAAAAAATGGCTTAAAATAAGACACATGTGCACACACGGAGCTTTCTCAATGTAATGTTTCCTAACAGCTAATAGATATTCCAAATAATGATCGAGAGCTTTGCTTTGTTGGGGACCAGATTCCTGGGGTGTTCTTCTTTCAAACAACAGAAGGAAAAGAGCAGTTTTTATAGTGTTGCTCCTCCCTTGCTCCCAAGCTCCTGAACGGCAGCATGCAACTAGTAAGATTCAAACTTATTTCACTCCGAGAAACCTCTTTGGAGAATGCTAACTATTTCAGTTAGGTGTAGAAGCAAACTGAGATAATAGTATTGGATATCTTGATTTTGTTACTTGAGGAATCTCATATAGGAAATAAAGGCTTGCATAGTTACAAACAAGACTTTCAGTGGGACAGTCAACACTACAAAAACCGCTATTTTTTTTCAATTCAACTTTTCTGTTGTTTAAAGGCAAAACATCCCAGAAATGTGGCCAGCAATTAACGGAAGCTCTGAGTGGTTATAATGTGGAGCACATCACAAGAGCTGACTTCAGTCATGAGCCCCCGCTCCCCCACCCCCATACCCAAAGGGACATTGCAGTCCATTCTAGCCTCTTGGAAACCAGTTTTCCTGATCCGGGTGTAGGAAGGAGAGCAAACGGAGAGATGTGGTAGAAGTTCAACAGAGAGTCCTGTTTCCTGAGATGTATCTTATCTCCATCTTTGGGGGGAAATTAGGCTGGTTAATTATATAAGGAATTTAAACAAGGACACGTGGAGGAGGGAAGAGATCAATATTCTCCAGTCTTCTTTCCATCTTGCTAGTTTACTCCTGGCAGAAAACTAACAGTTGCAAAATCTTTAGAGATTTGGGGAAGAAGAGGATTCTTTGGAGGGGGGTGGGTGGGAACTTAAGGTCCAGTTCACAAGATGGCAATGTGAAGTGAGCAATTCTATAATTTTCCTGTGCCCGTATGTATGTGAGTTTACATAAAGTCTATATTAAAGTGACATAGTAGAATTTGTGGGTTTTATTTGCATAAAGTCTATTTGAAGGTGATACGATACAAGCTGTGGATTTCCTGTCTTAAAACAGCCAGAAACCTCACAACTGATTTTTGCAAATGGCCACCGGAAGGCTAGTAAGGGGCCCCATGGCTACCTGTAGCCCACTTCTGCTCTTCTTTCTTAATTTTCAGCTTCATCAGCAGAGGCTGACCATCTAGCGTCCTCCTAGAGTTTTAGATCACAACCTATCAGATGGCAGGCAAATCATGGCCACTCAGAGGGAGGGTACACAGAGGTTAGCTAGATCTATTTCTTTGCCTGGTCTTTCTTTTTTTTTTTTTAGCAGTTTCGCAAATATATATATATATATATATATAAACCTTTTTAAGGTCTTTCAAAAACTCTGGCTGAAATCCTAACCAACACTTTAAGGTTAGGCAACGTTTCGACAAGCTCTCTACCTTGTCATCTTCCGGCCTTTATTATCAGTTTAGAAGCTGTGGGTCCTGCTTCATTATACTAGCTGCAGCCTGAATGTGTGCCTAGACCGTTAACACACATTCAGGCTGCAGCTAGTATAATGAAGCAGGACCCACAGCTTCTAAACTGATAATAAAGGCCGGAAGATGACAAGGTAGAGAGCTTGTCGAAACGTTGCCTAACCTTAAAGTGTTGGTTAGGATTTCAGCCAGAGTTTTTGAAAGACCTGTTTCTGGGCGTTTTTTTTCTTCTGGCAGCCAGCAGACCCTTTGCTGCTCCCAATGGGCAGCAAAGGGTCTGCTGGCAGCTATATATGTGTGTGTGTGTGTGTGTGTGTGTGTGTGTGTATGTATATATTTACAGTATGTAGGTCTTTGGTTATTCGGGTTTTCTCCCGCATAAAATTGGAGGTGTCTTGGCAACGTTTCGATAAAGTCTCATTCGTCATCTTCAGGCTGGTGTTTTCGGCTTCGTGCTTCTAAGAGCAATGTGTATGATCGCAGCTGTTTCTTCTTTTTAACTGCCAGTGGGGGTGTGAACTGATTGGGTGGGAGCTTGGCTGTGTTCTGATTGGGTGGAGGTGTGTTCTGATTGGTTGGGGGCTTGGCTGTGCTCTGATTGGATGGGGGGTTGGCAGAAAACAAATATTTACTATATATATATATATATATATATATATATATGCTAGCTTTTCTTCACCACTGTGTTGCCATCATAATAAGCAATGGAAAACAGAAATGTGAAATGTGGACATATTTCATTTCAAATACATTAACCAAATATAATTCAATCACTCAGTTTCAAAACCTGATGTTATATTCCAATTCTTCTTCAAATCATATAAAACCTGATGTCTGAATTCAGAATTATGCTTTTGATCATGAATAACTGAGCCGTGAGGTATGACTTCAGATCGCTCCAACCCAGTCCTTAGGTAGTCAGTATTTTTGTGTTGTACATCAAATGTACAGAAAGGTCATTAACAGATTAGAATTGTTCAGAGTAAACAAAAAAGTGAATTTGCATTAATATGTTTTCTTATTCTACATTTGATCTTAGCAAAAAGGTCGAGAAGTGATATTATTTTGTTATAATTGCTGTGCAAGTGGAAATCCTCATCATTTGTGCTTTCAGGTATGCACAGTAATTCTTCTAAAATAAGAGCAAACACCAAAGATTCTCACAATATGCCTTCAACCGCAAACTCTTCGGCTGAACCCATCGAAATGTTCTCTGTAGTAGCAGAGTTGCTCATATCCTTTTCAAAGTTTGAGGGGGATCCATCGACATTTTGGCTATGAATATCAAGCAGAGCTGAATCTGGGCAGGGTGGACCATCTAAAGATCCTGGAGAGGCGGCCCCTGGTTGCTCATCTGAAACCGATCCCGAGGCCTTCGTAAATGTTTCAGAAAGCTGACCTGATGACGGGAGGGCCGGAACAGAAGCCACTCTGGGTGGGAGTGTGCTGGGACCCCAGGCACAAGGCGAAAAGGACATTTCTGAAGTGGGTGTTTGAGACAAGTTCCTTTTGGAGGAAGGAACTGACACTTGGATATATCTATCACTTTCTGGGTCATAAAACATCTTTAACCGAAGAGGTAAATCTACAATAAAGTACTCTCCTGAATCTGGATCCTGGAGCAGCTTCCGCTGAGTGGCAGGCAAAGAGGGGGTGGGGCTTACGGAGAGCAGAGGTTGATGCTTTATCAGATCACGCTTTGGGGCAGTCAAGGGAGAATCAGGGCAGGCAAGAGACTGCAGAGATTGGACTGGTGTCAGGGATGAAGCATCTTCATTCTGGGCTAGAGTTTCATCCTGAAGCTTTTTCTGTTGAGCTTCCATTTTTTTCCTCCTACTTGCCAGCTTCTTTGCCCTCCGTAATGCCTTTTCTGTCTTGGGTGGCACCGTTGGGGGTTTGGCTGTTGTCCTTCCCATTTGAGTCACCAGCTGGAGTCTTTCATTCGTTCCCAAAGGACTGTCAGTATCTCCAGGGAGCTGACCCGTTTGTTCTAGTTCAAGTGTGGGTGTTGTGGAAGGTTTATTTAGACTTCCTGTTGCTTTGTGTAGTGGATAATTTGCTGGTTTTTCAGTCTGCAGTATGTTGACGTTTGCAGTTGTATCTGACAATGGACCAGTGGAAGCTGATGGCACCACAGTATCTGACTTTGGGCTTTGGAGGGCAGAACCTGCTGAATTACTCAACGGAGATGATGTATATCCGAAGGCATCACTGGAAACGGGAGAACAAGCATGATTCTCTGCTACTATGGGGAACTTTCCATCTTGGCTTATTATTTTTTTAATGCAAGGACCACCTCTTTGTCTAGTTAAGGCACGGTTCTTCGTATAACGTATCCTTTCTCTTATAGGGGACCTTTCCTCACTTTGTCTTGGCTCACTTTCAAAGTCTAGATTTGGCTGAATGGCAGAACTGGACCTCAATTTTCTAATTCTGATCTTCTCTTTGGAAATAGCTAATTTCTCAGGGCTTTTAAATTCTTTCTCTGGTAACGCTGATAAACAATCAGTTTCTTTAGACTCTGCCATAATAGGAAAACGATCTAATCCTTCACTAAAGCTATAATTTGTTGTCAGACTACTTTTGTCAGCCACTTGAGAGCCCCTGTTCCCCTGGAGAGACCGCCACCCATCCTCCTCGGCATTCTTGGGATCCTCTTGGGCAATTGGAGTGGCTTCTTCACAGGACAAAGACCTGAGCAGAGGCAGCTTGATTGCCTTAGTCACAGGGGGTGACTTAAACGTGTTGTCTTTAAGCATGAACAAAGTGGGCTTCAACACACTTGATAAAGTTGGGGTGAGGGGCTCTCCTGGCCTGCTTTCAGCTTCGCGGTCTGTGCTTTTCCAGCCGTCTTTTTCCTTCTCTTCCAACACCAACTCTTGCAGGACATTCACCTTTTCATTCTTCTCCTTGTCAGTTTCATCCATAACAGAGTCACAGTTGCTAAGAAGGTGGCCGTGCAAATCTTTTTCCTTGGCTTTCTCTTTCTCTTTCTCTTTGCTACTTTGCTCTTCTCTTCCATCCATGTCGTTTTTCCTTCTCTGGCTCTCCTGGAGACAGGCTTTCTGGAAAAGCTGCATTAGGGAACAGGGTGTCTCATGAAACGTTGGTTGGTCTGCCGTGGTAACAAAAGATTGCTCAGAAGAACTGGGGCTTCTTTTGTCCTTGTGGTCATTTCCAGCTGAGGAACAGGTCTGACTTCCACGGTTGCTTGCGTTTTCTTCAGCTAAAGGATAAAAGAGATTTCTAGAAGCTTCATCGGCATCTTGACCCAAAGTGACTTTTTTATATTTATGTTCCTGCACGACCTCTTGCTGTACGGCTGCCACATCTGTCAGGTGAGGTTTGGGTGAAGGAGCAGGTTGAGTTTTACTGTGTTCATGCATGGAAACCATCTCAACGTCCTCTGGGTATACGGAATCACTTTGCTGCAAATGATTCTTACTTTGGTACTTTAAAATACCTGCCCTTGACTTAGATAAGCTCAACAAGACATCATCGCTGATAAAATTCTCATTTAAACTGGTGAAATTGTCCTTTTCCTGAATGTAGTCCATTTGTTCAAATATATTAACTTTATGAGTACCACCAAGTATTTTTTTATTGCTATCATCCAATACATTGGTTGCCATAACAGTTGCTTTCAGATGGACCTGGGGGTCTTTCATCTTGCTTTTGTCTTCCAGGGCTCTCAGGAGAGGAGAGGGGCTGTAAGTGCTTTTCACACGTTTTCGGATGTCCTTCAAGTTAAATAGTAAACGTGGCGCTTTAGACTTGTAATCATTCTGAGAATAAAAGGCCCTCTCCTCAGGTTCCTTGGTTGCTCCAGCTTCCAGTATGAACGGCGTCACCACTAGAAGCCGGTTTCCTGGTGGTCCTTCATTCTTAGGCTTCAGGGGTGGGACCGGAGTTAGAAGGGCCGAGATGCTGAAGGAAGGATCAGACAAGATCACTGGTGACTCGGGTGCAGCTGTTTCGACCAAAGGGGCAACCTCGGGGGATTTTCTGTACGTGGAATCTTTTATTTCTAACACTTCGGCTGCTCTGACTTCTGCCAGTTTCATTCTACTAAGAGTAGTCTTTTGTTTCCTCCAGGGTGGTGGGCCACCATTTCCTACCCTAAGTGCAAATTCTGGCTTGGTGGTTTTCTCTGCTAGTTCAGTAATGTGGGGCATCAATATTTCCTGCGCATCAGTGTGGTGGAATGCTGCTTCTGGAGGGACAGAGATTTGAGGGAAAGGTGACGGGGGGACTGGTGCCTTGGACACTGGAACTGAAGGGGACATTCTTGGTGGGAAAAGCGTGCTAGATGTTGGGGAGGTTGCAGAAGAACCCTCGTACACAGGTGCAAGTCCCTGGGGTAACAGCTGTTGGGCAACTGTACATTTTGCATCAGCCAGTGAAGGAAAATATACCTCCGCCAGAGGCCCCGAAGAGAGGGAGGCTTTGAAGAGAGACTTTGGCGAGGAGTCATCGGAGAAGCTTTCTTCTAGCATGAAGGCACCTATTGGTTTCGGCTGAGAAATGCAAGACTTCTTAAAGAAAGGTGTTTCCTCAAAGTAACCGAGGCTGCCATCTGTGGGCATTGTCTCTCCCATTTCAATTATTTTTTTAAGGTGTGCATTCCATGACTCAAAAGCACTGTTTTCACTGTGGAGAAAGCTACTTTTTCTGGCTACTTCTTTTGCTTTCCCACTTCTGGTTTTCACCGTCTTGTTAGAGATGCTGAACTTGGGTGTATTCGAAATGTTTGGCTGAGAAGGATGAGAGGCAGGCAGGCTTTGATAGACCAGATCTATTTTGCTATGTCCTTTGCGCTTATCGCTTGGATTTGCTTTACTTGGACATGGGTCGGGAAGTTCAGAGATCTCCTTCTGGATGTTTAAAATTCTTTTGTCACTCCAGAAAGCCATATTGTCTCCGCATATTAATGGACATTCTGTCAAACTATTGTTGACTGGCTGCCTGGCTATCAGTAGTGAGACCTGATTGTCAACCTTATCAAAGGTCTTTATCAAAGAAGACACTTTCGAGATATGTGTACAGTTGTGCAGATCAGACAGTGGCAAATCCAAGTTTCTTCTTATGCTGGGGTTGACTGTAGAATACTTTTTATCTTCGTGAGTTTTGGAGTGAGTAGAAACTTTGGAAAGTAGGAATGTTGCGTGCTCCTTGTGTGAGAGTTGCCTGTGGACGTTGGTGTTTTGCCTGAGGGCGTAATTCCAGGGGCCATGAAGGAATTTGCTAGAGAACTGATGGGAGAGGTTGGGTGGCCCCACAACAGGGTCTACATCTGCGTAAGGTGTTTGAAGCTCAGCCACGCACAGACTTTTGAAAGCTCGGTCGGTGAGGCTGCACACTTCTCTGTCGGTCTCGTCGAGCAGACTCCCAATGCTGGAGGCGTCACTCTGACCGTCCGCTGGTTTCTTATTCCCCTGCATGGTCCAGAGGAGTCATTAATGAAATGGGTGGTTGACTTTTGGAACTACTGTTTCTCCAGCATTGTTCACAACTTGGGGTTAACTTTTCTTTGATAATCTGCAATGTTATATTCATTTCTCATAAGGAAGCACAGTCTGCAAATTGAACATATATAAGTTTACATTATTGTATTATAATACAATTCAATCCAATCGCACATAAACCTTTTCTGTTTAATTTCCCATTGATCCCCAATTTAACCTGATATTTTAGAATTACTTGGTATTGAAATATTTATACATGATATATACTTAAAATAGTTTTGAACTAGAATAACCCCCAGAAACATAATTAAGAGAGAAATCAAGAGTTCTTAAAAACGGTGCTTAAACTTTCATAATTCTCCCCCCTTTCTTTCTCCAGAAATTCTTTTTTAAAAGCCAATTTTTCTTTTCTCCTCTGAAAACCCGAGTTGCATTATTAGTCTACTTGGTTTAGAAGCTCTTTCTCATTTAGTTCAGCCATGGGGAGAACCCACAGGTGAAATTCAGGTGGTTCTCACCGGTTCGCCTGGTGAGTATATTGCTTAAGCAGTTCGGCGAACCGGTTAAAAATAAAGTGCAAGAGAGATTTTTTTCCCTTTCTCTCCCTTCAGTTAATAGCTCCACTTAACAGTTGCAGCTGGAATGCAGCCAATGCATACTGAATCAAGTCAATAAACAACAGAAACTGACAGGACTAGGGCAGGGAAACCCATCAATCACCCATCAATTAACCTCTTCCCTTCAGGAAGAAGGACAAGCTTACAAACATTTTCATGATAAAGAGTATTAAGTAACACTTCTGTGATCAGCTGATACTCCCTGGAGTTTCCCAAGACCTTTTATAGCTGCTGCAGTGTTGGCTACTTCTTGTTTCTTCCAGGGGGAAAAGGTACAGGAGGGGACAATGATGCAGCTTGATCGTACAGCCCCTGAATCTAATGCATGTGTGGTCCAGCCAGCTGTATGGCTTCTGCTGTGAAGCACCCAGTTTAGAACATAGAGAACATAGAATAATAGAGTTGGAAGGGTTAAGGGCTTTTGGCAGCACCCCCAGGCTTTCAATTAGCCTGAGCAGCTGCTGTTCGTTTCCCTCTCGGCTGCTGCGTTTGCTTTGGGGCTGACTTTTTTAAAAAAGGGGAATGTCTGTTTTAAGTTTTCTCATTGTTTTAGTGGTTCCTGGCACTGTCCTTTTGGGGTGTACTTCCCTCACTCTTTTTGAAAGCCTCTAGTGTGACAAGCTATTCCATTGGTTGATTGGTCTCACCCTTAGGAAATTTCTCCTTAGTCCTAGGTTGCTTCTCTCTTTGGTTAATTTCCATCCGTTGCTTTTTCTTGTGCCTTTTGCTGCTTTGGAAAAATGAGTCCCTCATTTTTGTAGGAGCCCCTCAAATTCCCTGACAGAACAATTAATCAGTGGAACAACTTGCCTCCAGAAGTTGTAAATACTCCAACACTGGAAGTTTTAAAGAAGGGATTGGATAATCATTTGTCTGAAGTGATGTAGGGTTTCCTGCCTAAGCAGGGGGTTGGACTAGAAGACCTCCAAGGTCCTTTCCAAATATTCTATTCTATTCTAAATATTGGAACAGTGCTATTTTATTGTGCTATTTTAGTGTGAGTTGGACTAAGAAGAAATTTCCTAAGGGTGAGACCGATCAAGTTGGCCACGCCCACCCAGTCACATGACCCATTTCCCACAGAAAACACGGGAGCCAGAAAACCTTGGTAGGTACCTTGGCTGGAGGGGTCATGTGATTGGGTGGGAGTGACATTGAATTGGTCATGCCCAGCCACTCACATGATCACCAAGCCACGCCCACAAAACCGGAAGAGAAAATTTTTGAATTTCACCACTAGGAGAACCGCAGCGGGGGTGCAGAGCCCCGGATGGCCTTTGCGGGTTTCTATTTATACGTTTATGCTACGGATTCTGTAACAGGAACCGTGTCATGACTCAACAGTGGGGATGCCATGTCTCCTTTGAATGTCTAATTGCCCCCTGGATGCTTGGCCTCTTTTTTTTGGAAATAATTATTTGTGATTGACATGCTACGTGTATAATAGAAACCTCCGTTCACGAGTCTGTGTAGTTTTGCACCTGAATTCGTTTTTCTTGCATAAAGTGTTCTGTCTTTAATTGTGTATTCTGAATAAGGTGTGGTGGTAAGATAAAGTTGCTGGGACTTGCTAGGAGTTGGGCTCTAATTTAGGAAGTTCGTCCAGGTGAATGGAATGGAACGATCTTGAGTGATTGCCTGGGGCAAGTTTGACACTGTACTTCCTGAAGGAGTGGACAGGACACTGAAGTCTGCTTGGTGCCACCCCGCCCCTCCTAGCTGGTGGAGGCCAATCTACTGTTGGGTCCAACTAGCTTGACCTGCTTGGCTAAGAGAAGGAGGTGATACCACTAGCCTGGATGGAGACAGTGTTGCCTCCTGCCCCAAAAGACTTCACTGCACTTCATTTCATTTTAGTTTTTACAGTGGCACACAAACACATCCTTTTAGTGGCTCTTAAAACTCGGCTCTTTCCTGCAGACATTGGGCTGGAGTGCATGTGTGAAATGACTGGTCTGTTGTTAGTTTTCCAGATGCTTGTTTATTTGTATTATCTATCACATTGATTAAAAAGGAATCATGTGGGAGATGCAAAGAGAATAAAACTTCATGTTTTCTGCAATGTCCTAAAAGTTATTACATATATGAATTTGCCTGAGATATCAGGCTTAATATTTTTGAAATCTACATTCTTTGGAACTAGGTACCTACCCTGGGTATGCTGGACAACCGGAAGGGGTTCTCGGGGCCCTTCCTCTTGCCCTTCAACACAGGAGAAATAAAATTATGGCCCTCAGTTCCTCAGTGGATCGAAGACCTGATGTTACTTTGACTTACAAATTAGTTGGTTACAGAGGTAGATTATATATAGATGATTATGGTTACTATAAATATGGCCATCCTTTATTGAAATTGTAACACCAAAATTATATTCATGCATAAGAAGTCACTACATGCATAATTTTTATAACTTATTTCTCTTGCTTTCCTTTCTCTTTCCTTTTGTTATTCCTTTTCCTTTGTTCTGTTTTATAAAGGCAAAACAAACAAACAAAAAAAGCCACCACACCAACATGGGATGCATCGCAAATCTCCATTATCTCCTTTAATATTTAATTTGGTGCTAGAACCCCCGGAGTGTTTAATAAGATGAACGGGTGATGCCCAGGAAAAGCCCAGTCCAGCCTGAACTGGAATACAAATGGTCCCCAAATTCATGTGATACTTGGGTGCTTCTTAAAGGGATTATAAAAACATTATATTTGTTGAAATTGTATAATTATATGGGAAATATGCGAGGTATACAAAAATCAAACATTATGCCGATTGGCAATAAGGTTCCTAAAGAGGTGAATTTTGTGTTTGTTCAAAATCTATTAAATAGTGATTATAATTCCTATGAATTATAATTTTAGAAGATAGAAACAATTTAAACTATATTGAGCAGATGAAAGGAGACACCAAGAGATAGATGAAGATGCACCTATGCTTGTAGGAAAGGAAATATTAAAATATATGTCTGTCTCTGTCTCGATTTTATTTCTTAATCACATTTATATAGTCACCTATCTCACAAAAAGTGATCCTGAGTGATTTTAATAAAGACAAATACCTATAAATCATTATAAAAATATTTTCAGAACCTTACCGGCTTGGTTCCACTTAAATGTTTTTAGCTGACTGGCAAATTAATGATTATTTTCTAATGGAAAGAGCAAAGGCAAGGATTTCTCCTTTCTGGCTAGCTTTGGTTTCAACTCCAGCAAGGATAGAAATGCTGACTGGGAGTTGAAATCCACAAGTCTTCAGGTTGCCCTGGTTCAAGCACCCCACCCCCTCCCTCCCACCCCACCCCCACCCCGGCCTAAGCAGTTACTGTCTTCAAGAGGACGAGTTTTACAGACCAGGCGGTCAGTTCAGCCTTTCACTGGATTGCAAGACAATGGAAAATGCAGACAGAAATAAAGGTGAACAAAAATGGCTGTTGTCAACTTCAATATTGTATAGGCTCCCTTTGTGTGACATTTGTCTTTATTAGGAATAATCAATAATTTCTGATCTATTAATTTTTGCAATTATCATTTCCGTCCACATTCCATTCATCTCATTCTCATCCTTCCCCATTAGTTTCATGTGTCCTCTTCCTATTGAACTTGTTTCCCATTATTTCAAAATACTCATTTTTAAAATTTTTAATTTTTTATATTTTATTTTTAAATATATTTTTTAACTTTACTTCAAACTCAAATTTCTCAACTTTACTTCGCATTTGTCAATTGTGACTAAGGGTGAAGTACATGTTGTGTTATTTAGTCTAAATAACTGCTAAAATTCCTAATTATGCCACAAATTAGTCTTGAGCAACTTGAAGATATGTGGACTTCAGCTCTCAGAATTCTTCAGTGACCATGGCTAAGGAATTCTGGGAGTTTAAGTCCACACATCCTCCGGTTGCCCAGATTGAGAACCGCTGGTCCAAGAACTTACATTTACTGGATTCCTCTCCTCCTCCTAGGACTTAGTCGTGTTTTTGTTTACTTTCATATGTTGATATACACTTACTAAAACTTCAGTACCTGCATTAAATCCTCATGTAATTTTTCTAATTCTAAACTAATAACATCTTGTTTCTCCCTATTTTCATTTCTTTTTGTTTTAAGCAGAGATTGTTTAATTGTTAATTGGTTTATTAAACCAGTTAAATCAGTATTGTTTTTTATCTGTTATTAATTATACATATGTGTTTACTAACCACTGTTCTTTTACTTATATCATTCCTTTTATCAATCTGTTTATACCTTCTTTTTCCCGTCACTTGAAGGAACTCGCTGCCATTCTAACACTTTTCAGTGGTTTTCATATTTCTTGCAATAATATAGCACATTTACAAGGATTGAATACGCTATTGAAATAATCTATCATTACCATTTCCTGTCTGTTTTTATTTCCTTAATCAGGTTAATTAAAAGTTGGTGATAGATCTAGTGCATAAAGTGATAGCATTGCTGTAACAAGAGAATAATCTGTAATTGTTACTTATAAAACATTTTTATTGGATACTGCAGAGAATGTTTCACAAGAAATGACTTTTCTTGCTACAGGAAATGGGGTGGGAATGTGAATGCTTACGTATGCCTCCTGTTTCTACATTTCACTCTGAATTTAAAAGGATTGCCAAGATGACGTTTTCATTTCTTTTCTCTGAGTTGTATCTCCTCTTAACTACAGAAGAGAAAGTAGGTTGGGTTGAGAGAGAAGTGAACTTTTATTCAGGGAGGAGACTTGATTCTTCCGGCCCTTAAGGAGTCTGACTAAGAATATACATACATCCCTTAATGTATTTACTTAAAAGCATTTCAAACATTGTTTTTAAAAACAATAGCCTGCATTTCTGTTTATTCCAACTTTGAAGGTAGCTTGTAACTATAAAAATGCAGAGTATTAAAAAACCCCAAAATTAATGCAGTTAAATGAATCATTAAAATAGTCAGCAATTAAAAGCTTGGCCTAAAAATATTGACAAATTCTGGATAAGTAGGAGTGAACCTTCCTCCCCAGGGGGAGCAGGTTCCTATAGTTGAGAGTGAGGTGGGACAAGGCCCTTCTCCGTGACAGTTAAGCTTCAGACGATGAGCATCTTGAGAGCAGGCTCTCCTGATGATCTAACCAGGGAGGTTCATAGTGAGAGAGGCTTTCCCACAAATGAGCAGCTCCTGAGCCCTTTAGGGGACAATGCCAGCATCTTAAATTGGCCAGGTAAAAGTTGGTACCTAATGCCAATCTTTCGTTGCAGGCCTTCTATGATTCCTGTTCCTTGTTCCGTTCAGGAGCATTTGCACTTTTTGCCCTGCCTTGTACTTGATGTCCCGCTGTGGGGACCCATTTATATAAAGGCACGGGTGCAGACACCTTCGAACCCAGTGCCAAGTGGGGATCCAGGAAGACTCCCAAAGTTCTGGAGTCTTTCTAGGCAAATGCAGCCCCATTCAGAAAAAACTTCACCTCAGACCCAAAGTGCAGTGACCTCAGACTTGATTTAATTTGACTTGTATTCCATGAATTATCTCTCCTTACTGAGATCGGAAAATATTTAAAGGTATTGATGGTATCTTTAGAGTTGGGCAGCAGGGAGCAGCAGAGCTCAATGTCCTAAGCATACATTGATGACTTCATACACCAAATTCTGAATTATCTGCCTCGGCAGTTCCTGGCTGTGTTATGGAGCACAGACAATGACCTGGACATTGAACAGTGGACCTCTGGCACCACCTCCTGGGGAAGTCCCAACAGAAAGGGCCAGACCTCCCGCAAAAGAAGGACTCAGCCTGGAAAGATGAGAGGGCACTGAAAGCTGCCGAGAGGTTGAGAAGACCCATCTGTTTTCCCCTGGGAGTCATCCACCAAACAATCACTTTATCCTGAACAAAACCTTGCTTGAAATTGGCCCAGAGACATCCAGATGTACCTGGACCTAGGAGGCCACCCCTTTCTCAGTCAGTTTACTCCAAAACACTTAATACTAGTTTTTAATTAGAACGAACCTCCAATTATATGCATAGCACATTTACACATGAAATATTGTATACGGTGGCCACCCCTGAAAAAGGGTATAATAGAACAGGGAAAGTTGCAGCAGAAGCCTGAGAAAATGATCAGGGGCCCCAATAGTTTCCCCAGGAGAAAAGGATACCCCTTTAGCTTGGACCAAAGGCACCTGGCTGGGGATGTGACTGAGGGGGTATAAAATCAGGTATGGCAAAGATGAAGGAAATAGGGAAATAAAACCAGGGCCAGGAGCCGTTCCGGTGATGCAGAACTGGGAAGAGAATTTGAACAGATTGGAGGTTGGGGGGGAGGGGGGAGCTACTTCTCTGGCTTTGTAGCCAATGTCCTTTGAGACTTTCTGAGCAGTTTGTCTAATCTGCTTTTGGGACCTTGCTTGAAGGATCATTCTGACACCTAGGATGCCATGACTTTGATCTCGAAATTCTTTGCAACAAAAGAATGTAATAGTTATCTGGCATAGAACATAAGATTGCTGCGTATTTCCCCCCTTATTACTAATCAGAATAGACTGAATGAAATGTCCTGTACTCTTTATTTGTACGCCTGGATGTTTTGTTGGAAACAGCAAATATGTGCTGGATGGGAATCATGCCTAATTCCTGGTTTTTGGTCAAGGCCAAAGCTGGTGGTAGGAAAGTTTAACAGGGAAAACTGCTAAAATTAATTTCTATACTTGAAAATTAATCTTGCCCACCATGAATTGCTCTGTGCATTTGCTTTGCCATCTGTTTGAAAATGATCCCTGCAGTGAAGGGTTCCTTCCTCGCTTGCCTGCCTAGGAGAAGATCATAGATCAACTTAGCATATTGTTGGGAGAACCCGCCAGTTACCTACAAACTGAGAACTTACAGTTTCCTAGGCAATGTTATGTTTGTACCCAGGTGGTTCTTACCTGTTGTGTTAACAGACCCTGTGGAAGTTTTGATCTTCTTGTATTCTGATTGCCCCTTTGAGGCTCACCAGTAAGGATGAGTGGAAATTATTTGGGGGAAAAGCTTTTCCAAGCTACATATTTCATTATGTTCTGTAGATCCTTTCAGTCTGCAACTGAATAAACAAAGAAAAGAAATAGATGAAGTTGTAGGAAATAAGGCTTGTTATTAAACCTACCTTCATTCTTCTTCTCATCCTGCTTTGATTGCCAGCAACCCTCGTCTGTTTTCTTAAATTGTGAATGTGTCTGAGCTTCTTTTTAAAGCCAGAGATCCTCAAAGGATGCCAATTTTACATAAAAGTCCCATCAACTCCCTGAAGCTGTTTTGCAAAGCAACATGGACACTCCAGGAAGCCACAGAGGATGTTGCCGCGTCTCTTGCTCTGGCCTGCATTGGTCCCTCAGCCTCCATAAGTGGTTGCAAAAGCCAGAGCTTCCTATCCATCCACAGAGTTCCCTTCTTAAACGCCCTTCTGAGCCTGGCAAAGGTTGGGAAAGGGCCATGTGGGAAGGTGTCGTGTTGGAGCTACGGATTGCTGAGTTGAGAACTAGGCCCAGAGGGACAAGAGACTGGAGACCACCTGCATGCAATTGTGTCTCCTGGGAGTCTTATCAATTGCCCTGTAATTCATTCATTCTTTTTTTAAAGGATCTCTCCCTTTTTTTAAAAAAAAGAGGAGGAGGAAGAAGAGGGAGGGAAGAAGGAAGGAGGAGAAATAATAGAAAAGAAACCAGGGACCCAGAAGAGTTAGTCTATGTTTTTAGGAGGTTTTTCATTTCCAGACTAGTAAAAGGTGAATTGGAAACCACAGAGACATCAGGAGTGAGAAGTTCATGGTGTCCGCCAGGCATCCCCCTGCAAAAGCTCCCTGCCCAGGGCTTGCCCCATGCTCCAAACAGCAGCCCCACCCCCAGGTCCCTCTCAGTCATGGCCATAGACCAGCTCAGAGGCACAGCATACAGGCCCTCAGCACCAATCACATCTGCACGGGTAAAAGAAATGACCCTCCAGGGGCTGCTGATCAGGTTGCAGAGCTCTTTCAGTTTTGGGAAAGTTTGAGGGTGCTCCTTGTAGGCTTGGATGGCTGGGCGGAGATTTTAGAGGTGGGGACCAGGCTAGGCAGGTCTGGGCTGGGTTAGGCAAATCTGATTGTGGGCCCCCTGTGAAAACTAGATCTGCTCCTGCAGGCCCCGTGTCTGTTCTGCCACGAGAGGACAACATGCAGGACTCCCGTTTCACAGGAGATGGAGACACCCACTGTAGCTACTAGATGTTGGGGGGGGGGGGGGCGGGGATATTATAGCTGTCCATCTCTGGGGTAGGAAAGGTGAAGGATCAGGGTATCGACGCCTCATTCTTCATTATGCAGCCTCCTTTTCCTGGCTAAGGGATTTTCAGCCAGAAAGCCTCCCGCTGCTTCACCTTCTTTCCAGATCTCTCACTGATTGGTTGCGGTGGACTCTGCTTCTACAGAAACCATAAAAGAAACTCATATGACTGTATAAACAGAGAAACAGGTAAACGTTGTGGTCTGACCTCTTGGCCTGTCTTCATCCTGCATTTTTGTTTCTGATGCTTCTTGCATCAGACTTGCACGGGGGACCCATCCACAAGTCACTTTTCTTGATCATAGCTCATGCACGCATGCATGCAGTTGGTGCAGGAATAATTGCTAGCAATGGTTGCTGTGGGAAATGACCTTATTAATTCGGGTGGTGCTTTAGACCCCAGAACCTTTCGCTAAATTCACTAAAGCAGTCCAGCTCTTCTCAGGCTTCTGCATGTCAAAAATACTGATCTAAGGGGGAAAAAATCTTACTGAAAGTCTATACGGGTGGGTCAACATTCTTTGCCTCTTGATCACGTGGAAGTTGGAGGCAAATGGCTGGAATGGAAATAAGAGAGCATCCTGGTTGAATTTACAATTTGGAGCATGAGTGATGGAGTTGGGGCCATTTGCCCCAGGGCTGTGGAAGAGGCTCCTGGATGGATCCTGTTTCTAAACTGCATGTAATAAGACACGGTGTGTGATGGCTGACCATTTTAAAGCTTAGCAGGGCTTAAAAATACACAAGAGGATACATAAAAGCCAGATTGTCTCATCCACAACACTGGAGAAAAAGAAGCACAGATGTTCTCCGGAACAATTGTCACAAAGTCAGCTCTTTGGCCAATCAGCAGCTTGGCCAATCACGTTCTCTGTCTCTCCAAATTCCCTCAATGGAGTGGTTGTTGGGGGGGGGAAGTATTGAGGTCCTGAAGGACAGGCAGAATATAAATCTAACAAATAAATCAATACAATATTGGTAAACATCCCCAAAAGAGACATTGTCATCTCACTTCGGTGAACACAAATGTCCTTCTCAAAACTTTCAAGTTCTTCTTGTTATCTCTGAGTTGAATTAAAGTTTTCTTTCTAGATAAACTCACAGTACTGAAAATATTATACATATGATTTGGAAATGTGTCTCCATTAAAGTTTCTTTTTGGAGAATTGTGTGCCAAATCTTAATTGTTGTCACTGGGAGGTTCAGGTTGGATCTCTCTTTCACGAGCTCCTTGTCCTGCCCTCTCAGGTGCTTTGGAGAAGAGGTTGACTCCCTCTTTTCTGTAATAGCCCCTCAAGTATTGGAAAGCTGCTCTCATGTCCCCCCTAAGTCTTCTCTTCCCAGTTCCCTTAACCGGGCATTGTTCAATTAGCCTCCAGGCCCTTTATCATCTTTGGATTCTTCTCTGCACTTTTTCCCAAGATCTCGGCATCGTTTTGACCACTCAAGCATCTTGCCCTCTCGAGGTTCATGGAACATTCAAGCCCCAACCACTCTGACTATTTTCCAAGAGGAGTTTTCAGCAGATGTAATTGGGATGAAGACCACTTCCCACCCCCACCTCTTTTTCTTTCTGCTCTCTGTTCCCCAGTGTAGACTTTCCATGGCGATCTAAGCTGTCCGCTCATATTCACTTTAGACTTTGGCCTCCAGCACTTTAGACATCTGCCAGCCAGTTTCCCTGCCCAAACTTACTCAATGAACCAGTGACCTGTGAGCTTGACAAGCTGACAGAGGCTACCCTGCAGCAAAGGAGGCTGGGAGTGTGGGAAAACTGGAAATCCCAATCTGGCACCAAGGTCTCAAAGGGGAGTTTGGCACAAGAGAAACCAACCCACCAGAAAATTCTGGAATTCCACCAACTCCAGAAGACCTGACCTCAAAGCCACACCAAAGCTCCTGTGGGAAAGGCTTAGGGTTAAGTCAACCTTTCTGACCTAATCAGGTGGTGATCCATCCATGGCAGAGAATCAGTTCTGGTCCTTCAACAGAGGTTCGTCAGTTAAAAGACCAGTTGCAGAGAATAATAGCCGGAAGACATGGTTGTCTTCCGTGACCGCCATGGCAGCTCTAGGGAGACTGGACCCAGTATGACTCTGAACCCCATCTCTGAAACCAGTTCCACCAGTTCAGGCAATGAAACTGCTGGATATAGCACAGAGTATAGTAAGCCCCCAGATCTGTCTAGTGATGGGTGGAATCTCACCAAGGACAGGGAGGTCTCTCGTCCCCTTCTCATCTCTGCTCCTGAATGCCTAAAATCTATCATGTCTTCTGTGTTCCAATTCTTGCATTAACTATATTTGCGTACACATCTGAAATGTTTGCCTTTCATATCCTTCAGGTGCAGAAGTTTCTTTGGAACCAGCTGTTTGAGAAAAAGTGAAACAATTTGCACCTGGTTCTTCCACACCCAATCTAATCACTGTGACATTTATGTTTTTCTAACACATTTTTCAATAAAAATGGAAAATGCTGACTAGCAAAATATGACAAATCTTGCTAATCGAAACAGGGGACTTGAAAACTTCATGCTTAGCCATTTGGGGTATATTCACTTGGTGAACACATGAAACGGGGTTGATGGAAGTTATGCTTCGTGTGCTATAATTATTTTCCTTAACACCTGATATACCCTGGATATAGAGTAGAAGGTCAGTCTGCAGCACCTTGGCGAGGCTGCTGGCAATGACACGGCTGGGACAGGGACCTGGGGATCTCTCAGTGACAACTTAAATCTACTGTGGGCACAGCACTCCCCATCCAGGAGGTGGGTGCTGCATTGTGTAGACATCTTGGCTAGGGTTGCGGCTGGGTAAAAATAAATCTCCACTTCACTTGACCCTTAAACTCTGACCACTGTCACTCCTTTTAGGTAAATAGCCTAGAAACACACTCGAGAGCTCTGACTTATGAACGACCCAAGGCAGAACGTAGGTTGGGGTGGTGTGTGTGTGTGTATGTGTGTGTGTGTGTGTGTGTGTGTGTGTGTGTGTGTGTGTGTAGATCTGGCCCACAGATTGTACACAGTGGAACTTCTATGCCAGAAAATTTAATACTTTGAAAACAAATCAATGTGTAGTTCCTGGATGTTACACTGCCTTTTCTCTGCTGCATTTCTATCGTTGACTCTCACCCTTAAAGATGAAATAAATTCCTTTTGGGAAATTGGGGGCTATTTACTCCCTGCCTCCTTATTCAGGGCTGGGGGTTGAGAGGAAGAAAACCATCCTAACCCGCCACCCACCCACCCGCATCCTGATGGGAGAGAGCACTTGGCTCAGCACCTTGCCTGCCCTTCCTTTCTCAGCCCCTCCCTTTTTCTTTCCAGTCACGGGACCTGAAGTAGAGCAAATTTAAAGAGATTGAAAGAATTCCCGCGGTCCTGCTCTGCCTGCTTTCCCTAACTTATTACATGCAAAATAACTGTGTCCCACAAGCCAATGCTCCTCCGTGGGCCTGATGGCCAACATCTAAGCTTATGCCCAGCAGTGTTTTCTGGTCAGGGGAAACGAGAATAACGGCAGACGTAGCGGGGTTTGCGGTGGCATGTTGCACAATACAACAGCAGTTCACAAGCATCAAATTTCCTTTTTCTCCACGTAGTTGGTAGAAGGGTCACTTCATATTTTGTGCATTTTTGAGCAAAAATGGTTTTCTGGAGGCCTGCGGGGTGAAGGCACCAACCATGGCCCACTCTTCAAGGTCCCAGAATAAACAAAAAGAGTCCCTTACTGCCTTCAAAAGAAACTCCACAAGGAACACGCAAGGGAGAGAAGGGCAA